GGAATCTATTGCACAATAAAGTGTGCAAAAACAAACTCATGTTTTTACATATAGTATAAATACGAGGCAAACGTTTATATATCTCTCTTACATGAAGAATCTAAAATATATATATATATATATATATATACAATAATTTAAAAAAAGCTGATTGCAAGACCGTTATATTTACAAGGGAACTTAAGGACTTTCTCCTGAATGTGTGTGTGTGTGTGTTCTTCCTGAGGGAGATGCTTGTCTGGTGGTCCGTGTCTATGTTTTGACCCAGAAATCTCACCCGTCTCTGTTTTATAACATCTTCTCCTCTCTCTGTGTCTGTAGTTAAAATCTGCCTGTTATTCCCCTTCACATCAAACTGTTCTCTTTGTTATGTGAAGGAATTACATTCTGCCCTTGAGCAACGCAACTTTATTAGGAGGAAACCTGCTTATTATATTCCAGTAAGAACATAATGTAAGATAAAGATCTGGCTGTAAATTAAATGAAAGAAACGAAAACATTTCTGTCAGTCTGATAACTCTGTGGAAATGTGTTTTTGTTTTTTTATGTAACTGTCTACCGTGGATATTCTTGTTGTTTTGATGTATACCGTGTACTAGTACTTACATCAAGCATGTTGTAATCACGCGTACATAAATGCAACACAAAATAGGTCGTCTCAGTTCAGTCTTTGTTAAAAACCTGAAGGTCTTTTCGGCCATAACACAGAGGAGGAGGAAGAAGAAAACAACAACACAAAATACAATGAAACCTCATTAAAAAGAGTGAAATGTTCAGTAATTTGATGTTTGTGCTTCAGCCTGAAGCTGGAGCAAGAGGACTGAGGACAAAGATGACTGAGTGAACATTTCTATCAAACTCATCACACTGAACTCCTACAGTGTCCTTCACAAACACAGTCACCCAATAGGTCAAATAAGGTCAAATAGTGTCATAAAACAGCCGGAAGCTTCTCACTTTAGGGGTAGGGAAGTGAAGGAAAAGGTAGAGGAGAATAAGGAGGTTAGAAGGAAAGACAAAGACCTCATAGGAAAGGGAAGGATAAGAAGAGGTGGAGGAGGAAAGGGGGAGAGGAGGAGGAAAGGGGGAGATGAGGAAGAAAATAATGAGGAACAGTACGGCGGCCAACGAGAAACTTAGGAAGGAAATGAGGAGGCAGATGATGACAGAAGTAATAAGAAAAAGGAAAGAAGAAGATAAACAAGGAAGTATTGCATTTAAGCAAATAAGGCTGTAAAGATTAAAAGGATGAGGTAAGATATGAAAAGGATAGGGAAGGAATTAAGGAGAAAATGAAAGGACCTTGTAGGGAAATCAAAAAGGGAAGTACATGAAGAATGGAAAAGGAAAGGAAAGAAGAAAGTAGGGACAATACAGTTGAGTACAAATACATGTAAGGGAGGAAAGGAGGAGCTTAAAGCAGCAAAGACAAAGTAGAAAGAAGAGAAGGAGTTAGAGGAAGAAAAGGAGAGATGGAGAACACCATCAGGAAGTATGACGAGGAATTAGTGAAGGGTGGACTGTTGATCTCCTGACATTTTGTTGCTCCATCCACAACTTTGACCTCTTCTCTCTGTGGACCTTTATACGACCTCACCTAACATCTTGTTTTGCACCTGACGCATATGTCATAATTCCCAAAGCAGTTAGAGCTCCTGAAGGCACCATGTACATAAACCTGCTCCCTTGAGAGGAAGGTCTCAGTTAAACACAACAAAAAAAACGATCGAGATATATTTTGTGCAAATATAGAATTACAAACAATGTGTACGTGACCAAGTCTCCGAGCAAAATGGAAACACAGGAGTGTGTGTGTGTGCTTGTCTGAGAAAGACAGAGTGGATGACAGCTTCTGATAAGGATGGAAAACAGAGCTGTATTTTCCTTTGATGCACACAGTCACACACACACACACACACACACACACGCACACACACCTCAGAAATCAGATTTGGGAGCTGTGAGAAATAAATGCATGAAAGGTTGAAAAATGAGGCCTGTCTAATCATTCAATTAGGATCCAAGGCAGATGGTCTGCACACACACACACACAACACACACTCACACACACACACACACACACACACACACACACACACACACACACACACACACACACACACACACCGGACACACACACACACACACACACTAACACACACACACCCGGACACACACACCCGGACACACACACACACACACACACACACACACACACCACACACACACACTAACACACACACACCCGGACACACACACACACACACACACACACACACACACACACACACACACACAGACCTGTTACTATTTGTAAGTCTAGCTCACTCTGAACTCTGTAATCCTATAGCCTCTCTCTCTCAATGTAACTGTATACTCGATCGCCCCGTTTACTGTTAATGAGACACTTGTCGTCCTGCTCTTCATTACCTGAACATCCCATCATTATTTGACTCTATATGTGGAGATAGCAACATGATCCCTACCTGCAGATTAACCTCTTACATCACCACATTGTCCTGGTTTGAGTCCAGGTTTGGGATTTGTTGCAGCGAATAAAACCCACACAGTGTCCTTGTTCAGAAGATTATGTTAAGTGTAATAAGGTTCAGCTTAGAATAAATATGTTTGTTATTCATTATTATAGACGCACATTTAAAAAAGTTGGTATCACACCTGCTAAGTGAAAGTCTCTTGTTGTTGTTTTTTATAAAGACTTCCACTGACTTTGGTTTAAGGCATAATTGTGGTTAGTCAAATTATGCAGTTTAGTGTGGGAACATAATTTCTAGGAAACAAAGCTATTTTAGTTTTTGGGAGGTTGTGGTTCAGTGGTTCAGTATGGGCTCAGAACAGTCTCATAATACACACATGCACACAGAAGGATTCACACTTGTATTTCATGATCCGCAAAAGGATTCACACTTGTATTTCCGGATCCACACTTGTGTTTTTCAATGCACACACAAATGTGTTCCGTTTCATATACATGTAAATAAAATCCAAATACAGAAAAAAGTTTTACATATGTATTTTTGATCCTCACATATTTGTTTTCCGTTTAAAACCGCTGCACCTGCAAACACAACCCGCTTTCTGTGCATGGATCGCTGTGCATTCGTGTGTGGGTTTTTTGAGACTCCCCTGACGGTCACCCGATTCGTACTTGTAATTTTTTCTATCTATAGCCAATCAGATGTCTCCTCAATTCTAAGCCAATCACATGAGCGCGCCCCCACGAGGGTAGATTTCTTGCGTTCATGACGTAGCGCTTCATGTACCCATTTTGCGCTGTCCGGAGCTGACAGGTCCATGGAGCCTGCCTGCAGGCGCTAATCTCAGGACACCTCCACTCTCAGTACATTGCCACTTTCCGAGCAGGAAATGCACGCAAATACAAGCCTTTATATTATTAAGGTACACAGTGCCACTTTCCGAACCATTAATGAATGCTTGTGTACACAAAAACGGCAGGCAAAACCGTTTTAAATGTGTGTTTCCTGTATGGCGAATACAGCTGCTTTATTTATGTCTGTATGAAGTTGTTGTGAGTGTGGAGGGAGCAGCTACAGGTTAGCTTAGCCTAATCGATCAGTGCACTACGAAGCCAGTGCTAGACAGTGAACTGTCAACGGGGGGAGCCCCGCCGGTCATTATCGGCCGATATTCACTCTTAATAGTTTGATCGGTGCTCTCTATAAAGGCCGATCAGGAGAGCTGGATCTGATCGATATGGACATAAACGCGAGTGAAGTTTTAGCGAGCTGCATGAGAAACTGACGGGCTGTCAGGAGAGAGGGAGGGAGAGAGGAAAAGAGATGATCCTTACTCCCGTGTTATTAGCCATATCCGGTCATAGTCCTGTAATTACCTGCTAACGGAAACTCTGCTACACAATTCTTCTTCTTATTATTATTATTATTGAAACATGACCGGTAAGTTTCAAATTTGTCCGGTAAAATAAATTCTGTCCGCGGAAACCCTGCTCCGGACAGCGCACAATGCGTATATGAAGTGTCATGACTCATGAACGCAATAAATCATACCCTCGTGGGGACGCGCTCATCTGATTGGCTTAGAATGAAGGAGACATCTGATTGGCTATAGATAGAAAAAATTACAAGTACGAATCGGGTGACCGTCAGGGGAGTCTCAAAAAACCCACACACGAATGCACAGCGATCCATGCACAGAAAGCAGGTTCAGGGGATTTAAACGGAAAACAAATATGTGAGGATCAAAAATACATATGTAAAACTTTTTTCTGTATTTGGATTTTATTTACATGTATATGAAACGGAACACATTTGTGTGTGCATTGAAAAACACAAGTGTGGATCCGGAAATACAAGTGTGAATCCTTTTGCGGATCATGAAATACAAGTGTGAATCCTTCTGTGTGCATGTGTGTATTATGAGACTGTTCTGAGCCCATAGTTCAGTGGTTAGTGCGCTTCGGATCACGGGGGCACTGGTTTGAATCCCGCTGCAGTCAACATTCTGCTGTGTCCTTGGACAAGACACTTCACCTCAAATTGTCGTTGCCCACAGTATTGAATGTACTGTATGTAAGTCGCTTTGGATAAAAGCGTCTAACAATTGACATGTAATGTAATGTCTCTACCTCTATGGTTCGTCTCCCTGTGATTTAATAGCCAAACAACGGAAATGTACATCTTGTCCTGAAATTCCCTGCTGCTCTCTGTACTTTAGTATCAGTGTTGTTAAAAGGCACTCAACATTTTTTATCCATTTTATAAATATCTTTATTTTATCTTAAGAATTTTTAGTTAAATGTCTTATGTTTATATAAATATTCCTATTCTTCTTATTTTATTGTATTTTACTGTCAAGAAACCCCATAAAGTATTCTAGTTCTGATTAATGAAGGAAGGAAAAGTATGCAGCTTGAGAGAAAGTTGCTTGACTTACACATAAATGATGACATTCAGTCGATGCTTTTCATTATATATTCACATGTTACCTTGTTCTGTGTGTAGCTGGTACACTGGGCCAGTCAGCAGCAGGATCAGGATGAGAAGATGGCTGGCTGTGTGTTTCCAATGGGACCAGAGAGCTTTCAGCGCTTCACGCCGGACTCCCTGGCGGCCATCGAGCAGCGCATCGCCCAGGAGCGGGCACGACGCAACAAACACTACCAGGAGGTACACACACACACACACACACACACACACACACACACACACACACACACACACACACACACACACACACACACACACACACACACACACACACACACACACACACACACACACACACACACACACACACACACACACACATGGAAAACAAGAAATACAACTGAGGGAAATAAAGAAGGAAGTAGGAGGTAGGTGAGTAAAGACAAAGGTTAAGAAGTCAAGGAGAAGTTAGATGAGGGAATAAGAAGGTGGTCAAGGAAGAAACGGTAAAGGAGAGGAGATTGAAGGGAATAACGAAGGGAAGTAGAGGAGGGAAGGGATTAAGGAGGCCAAGAAGGAAAGCAGCAGGTAGATGAGGAAAGAAAGAGGTGAGGAAGGGAATGAGGAGGTACATAAGGAAAGGAGGAGGTATTATTATTTTTATTATGAAAGAGGAACTAGAAGATATCATTTGGGAGGTTAAAACCTGACTAAAATTAGAAGATCTGTTTCAGGGGTGGTGATGATCTCTGTTTGTGTGTGTGTTTATGTGTGTGTGTGTGTGTGTGTTTGTGTGTAGGACCTGGGTGACGTGGTGCTCCCCCGGCGCCGGCCCGACCTGGAGGCAGGGAAACAGCTGCCTCGAATCTTTGCCGACATCCCGTCTCATCTGGTTGGCGTTCCCCTGGAGGACATCGACCAGTACTACTTCAAAGGCAAGAGGGTAGGTGACCCAGTGAGAGTGTGTGTGTGTTTGTTTGGAAATACCCCGTCTTTCCTTTTGGAGAATCCCTGGAAGATAAATCGACTCTTTGGCAGCCTACTTCACTGAAGAGCAGAGAACAGGCAAGCTAGTAAAAGCTATAGAGAAATATGTTCTTGCTGCATCTTAGCTTTTTGCACATATTGTAAAAGATGGTAATATTCAAACATTTTGCACCCTGTTTTTTTATTTACTAATTGATATGTTTTGTTTATTTTTCATGTATAATTTAGTTTATTATTATTATTATTATTATTATTATTATTATTATTATTATTATTATTATTATTATTATTATTATTATTATTATTATTATTATTATTATTATTATTATTATTAATAATTTATCTAGTTAGTTAGATCGTTAGTTAATTAGACAGTAAGTTAGACAGTTAGTTAGTTTGACAGTTAAACAGTAAGTTGCTCAAACTGAAATAAAAACTTTAAAAAAGCTGTGTTTCTGTCTCTCCTGCAGACCTTCATAGTCCTGAACAAAGGGAAGGCCATCTTCCGCTTCAATGCCACGTCCGCTCTCTACATCTTCAGTCCCTTCAACCCCATCCGCAGAATCTCCATCAAGATCCTGGTGCATTCATATCCTTCTTCTCTCACTGTTCTCTGCATGATGGTCTTCTGCTGGGGGGACCATGTCTGCAGGGAGGGCAGAGGTTAGAGGTCAGATACAGAGCAGTGTGTGTTTGTGTGTGTGAGTTAGTGTTGGTGTGCGGCTGGGCCACTCTGACGGCTGTGTGTGTGATGATTTAAACATGATGCGTGCTCCATCTCTGCTGCATACAGAGTGTTGGCTTCTACTGTAGTGAAGTGGAAATTAGAACAACTTGCAATTTACTTCACGGAAATGGTTTTTTCTTTACACTTAGTTACCTTTAACACTAAGAAATATATGATTTCTAAAACGATGCAGCCCTGTAATATTAATCTACCAAGTGGTACTGTATAGAAAGTATCTAAAAGTGACTTTCGTAAATCATACTTTTAACCATATATCAAAAGATATCTGTTCAATAGTCTTGTTCTAAAACTGAAAGCTCCAAATGGCCCTTACACATATTCAAAAGTGATAAAAACAGATGAATTTAATACACAAATCAAACGTTTAGAATATAAATGAATAATGAAAATTATAATGAAAACATTTATTTAATAATAAAAAGCAAACAAAATAATTATAATAATACGGATGAGGATTAGGGCCACATGAAAAAAATGTTTTTTTAGTTCTGAGAAAAAAGTCAGAATTCTGAGATTAAAGTCAGTTTTCTTTTTTTTCACCCTAATCATCTTCCGTATAATAATAATGTTGTTGGATGATACAGTACAACATATTTATTTAAGTTCATACTGGCTTTAGTCATTATATTTTTCTTGAATTTTTCGTTTTTTTGGTGCAGTATTACACGGTTATTAATGGTTAATTAATGTGAAGTGACCCATTCCATACATCTGAACTCAATTACATTAAACCTGATTACCTTCAGCTGGAATGACGATCAATGAATTGCTTTAATGGCAAACATAATAAATACACTGACAAATGAGAAGTTGTGAGAATAAGTTATCTTCCTGAATTTCCATCATAAAAAAGGCAAGTAGCCAAAAGAGAAGAGGTTATTAGAGGTTGTGAGAAAAAATGATGTGAAATTATTCAAATGCAGTCAAGAAGGTATTAGTTTGATTTTGATCATAATACATTAATTGCATTGATTATACTGTAGGTTACATAACATTCATCACACATTTGAACACTTACATAAGGTATACACTTATCATACACTTTGATATCAGACTGTTTAATGACCATGTGGCTGATTTCAAATTGGTAAAAAGTTAACCAGGTTGCAGGGTACAGTACACATTTCTAGAAAATGTTTACTGATGCTGGATAAAAAAATCAAATCATATAAGACTCAGCAAAACATCTGCACACTGCAATACAATTTCCCAGCAACACAGATCTTTATCATTAGCAACAACGATCTTTATCAATCCTCATTACAATTTTATGCTAGATTTAAATACATTTTGAATATGATTTTTGCTTTAAATTGTCAATTTTACACCTGCTCCTATAGCAGGACGCTGCCCAGGCATATTTAGAGGTGACGGTGTGTTTACCAATCATGTAAAGTGTGTGTGTGTGTGTGTGGTGTGTGTGTGTGTGTGTGTGTGTGTGTGGTGTGTGTGTGTGTGGTGTGTGTGTGTGTGTGTGTGGTGTGTGTGTGTGTGTGTGTGTGTGTGGTGTGTGTGTGTGTGTGTGTGTTGTGTGTGGTGTGTGTGTGTGTGTGTGTGTGATGTGTGTGTGGGTGTGTGTGTGTGTGTGTGTGTGTGTGTGTGTGTGTGTGTGTGTGTGTGTGTGTGCGTGCGTGCGTGCGTGCGTGCGTGCGTGCGTGCGTGCGTGCGTGCGTGCGTGCGTGCGTGCGTGCGTGCGTGCGTGCGTGCGTGCGTGCGTGCGTGCGTGCGTGCGTGCGTGCGTGCGTGCGTGCGTGCGTGCGTGCGTGCGTGCGTGCGTGCGTGCGTGCGCGTCTGAGGACTCATCCCGTCGGTCGTATTTCTGAGTCAGATATCATCTTGAGCTGTCTGGACAGCTATAAACATGACCAGTAAATATTTCCTATCAAGGTGGCCCCTGCACACACCACACACCCACACAGACATGCACGCAAACACACACACACACACACACACACACACACACACACACACACACACACACACACACACACACACACACACACACTCAGAATTTCCACCCGTGAACTTTGACCAACTGCCTCTTTCAGGTATGTTTGTTGTGTTTTTCACACACCTGTTGGTCAATTACATAACATATTCATTCGATTTAATGTGTTAAAAGACTGATATCTGGTGGAACATTTTGAATAATTGTAGTTTCTTCAAATGCATATGAAAACATACATGGGTTTATACTACGGTGCATTTATTGTGATCCGAGTAAAATAAGTTGGTTGTCTGGCCCAAGATCTTTATCAAGGTTATCATCATTTCGCATGTGATTTAATCTATTTTGTTTAAGCTTTATTTCCAAAACGTCCCTTAAAAGTGTGCAATGGCATTGATGCATAACGTGCAGTGAGAAGAAACAAGTGCAGAAAACCTTAAAAGTGGAGGAAATTGAGGCATGGTATTATTTTAAAATTGGACCCTTTCTCTAGAATGAGAATTTTTTGATGTGATAATTGAGCCTTTTTGAGTCAGCGTGCCCTCTGGATAAAAGTGATTTGCTTCCACTTAACACTCATATTACTAAATCATTTTCAAAATAAGACTCTTAAATGAAGCCTCTGAATGTTATTTTATACGACAGCTGTGCTCATATTTAAATGTTTTAATGTACTTTTGTGCGCTTTCTTGTCCAGTCAAGTTTTCTTTTACCTCAATGTCAAATATAATCTTAAATACGGCCATTAAAAACTTTTTATCAGAAGATCACGTGTGAAGAGGTTAAAGTGACATTAGATTCCAGCTTAAAAGAAAATGTAAGGTAATATAAAATAAAGCCTTAATAATCTCTCTTAGGAAATACAGGAGTCAAAGCAGCAATAAGAAACACATTGATTATAAGAATTTTAAAAAGTATAAAAAAACAATAAAGGAGTAGGTACAACACATGATTGGTGAATGTAAATAAATGTATTTATATACGTCTATAGGTTAGGATTATTGCCAGTCCCACGCCACGCCGGCGTCCTGACAGATATGACCTCACACCCAAAACTCAACACCAGCCCCCCTTCATATCTCTCCCCTCCCTCCCCCACTCACATCACACTCGTCTATTTTTACCTGGGGAGGCGGCGGGTGTTGAGAGACGTCGAACGGTGGACACGCTGCTGTTTTCGGGGGATAAGAGGGGGGAGAGGTCGCCGCGGAGGTGTGGCGCTGCTGATGTATGTGTGTGTTTGAGTGTGTGTGGTCAAAACAAAACTTATGACAAGTGTGTGTCGTTGTAAGGGTACAAGCTGCAGTGGTGAAGTGGAGTTTTAGTGTGTGTGTGAGTGTTTTTATAAGTGTGTGTGAGATCAAGTGTTTGTTGGATTCATGCCCGACCACAGTGGCGCCACCATGACAAGCCGGGGTGTGAGGTGGACACACACACAGACAGACGTTGTTAACTGGAATATGTACAATATGCACGTATGTTTCATTAGGCAAGAAAGAATAATAACACGAGGAGAGTGAAATAGAGTAAAAAGAGTAAAATAACTAAATTTAAAATAAAATATACAAAATAAATGAAATAATGATTAAATATAAAATATCTAATATATTATATATTCTAATATAGTCAAATATAATTAAATAAAACACTTTAAATAATAATTTAAAATATAAGTAAAACAGAGTACAATTATGAGATGAGAGGAGGGGAGAAGAACAAACACACACACACTTGCAAACAAATTGCAATTGTGTGTTTTCTCTGTAGGTAATCAGTATTAACACCACTTGTAACAGAAAACACTGTTTGACTACATATCCCATGGGGCTTTGCTTCTGGAGGACACCCCTTTGACTTTGTTTCCCTTGAGGCATTGCTCCAGGAACATGTTAATCACCAGCTGCGTCTCGTGGTTTAAAAAAACATTGTGTAAGCACTACAGCTTTGGCACAAGATTATGGACCTTTTGTTTTTTTACATCCAGAGTTATTTGTAAGTCGAGAGAAGTCCAAGAGAAGTGGATTACATTAATGTAATGACAAATAAAGATGATTAACAATCATGTAAACAATAGCTATTCTCTAATCAGATTCTCAAGCCCAGGAGGCATTAAGGAGAAGTTTTGATTTAATTGATATGCAAACTATAATAGAATTGTAAGTTCTGTTACTAGTTGCACACATTAAAGTGTTTCAAACTGTCTGCAGCAAATGTTGGGAAACTACATGCAATAAACAAAATACACATTTACTTCCTTCAGTTTAATTATACAACATATAGAAAACCTTGCATTATTTATAGATTGAAATACATATTTAGACTAATATCTGTTGGCTCAGTATCCCATGATTAATAAAGGGAATATGAACAAACTCAATTAATGATAACATAATTGGCATCTTGATCAGTCATGGAAATATTTGAGGCCTAGAGTGAACACAAAATGACTCGGGATACTATTCTTTTGAAATAAGAGCATTGGTTACAGTGTTGGCTTTAATTAGAACAGAAAAGTAATTCAATGCTCAGAAAGAGAAAATATTGAGTGATGGAGGTGAGGGAGATGTGGAAAGAGGGAGGAAGATCCCGCGGAGGGTGTGGGAGGTGTAATTACATTACCGGTATGGTGGCCTGGGAGGGCCATAACAGCAGGTCTGTCATTACAGCGTAATTATTTCCCGGCGGCACGGGGGGACGTTCGCGTTGTTTGTCAATCGCTAACCCAGTTACCTCGCCATCATTACAGCCGGCACTCAATCAACAATTACCCCGCGGCTCGAACAACTTTCAGCTGGAGTTTGGAGTGTGTTCCTTCTGCCAAATTACAATAATTAAGATTCATTTATAACTTTGATTGACATCAGAGCGAGGGCTCTCCCACCTCATGTGTGTGAAGGTGATACTTAACATGTAGCGCTGCCTTCTGACACTTTGAAAAAGTTACCGTGTCACAATACATGATCCATAAATCACTTCATCTACACCAGGGCTCTCAAATCATTTGGTAACCTATAGGCTCTCAGATCTGACTTTCTCACAATTTGAAAAAATGTGAGAAACCAGAATTGAGGTCTTGTGCTTTTATGCCTCCTTCTTCCCACGTTGCTAAGGTAAAGGCGGCTAATGTTCGATAAGACATCTGTTAGCAAGCCCTTTCGACATGTTCATAAAAACATTGACTTCCATACGAGGGAACAGGAAGTGCTAACATGTTGACTCATCACAGGGTTTAGGTCTCATTCCTTCAACACTCTATATAGGTCATATACAGTAGGGGAAATTATAATTAGTGAAGTTCTTGAGTTAAAAAACCTTTTTTCTGAGATATCACATTTACAAGAATGGTTTATTATCCCAAATAACCACAAATTATTATTATAAGAAACAACTACTTGCAGCAAGGATTTTCATCTCTTTAAGATCTTGCATGTAGGTTTATTAGAAATGACTCAAATGTACTTTTAAACATATTAATGATGAGGATTATTATTAATATTTTGAAAGTATCTGAATCACTTTATCCAGAGGGTACACTTAATCCGAAACATCATATCAAATAAAGTAATGTAATAATGTAGAAAAAGGGTCTTATTTTAAAACAATACTTATAGTAAAATGTGCCAAAATCTTCACCCATTTTAAGTTCACTTCCCTTTATTTCTTCCCTGCGGACATTGTGCATGCTGTTAATGGCATATTAATTTGCTTTATTGGATTTGGTATTCGGACATGCATGTGGAAAAACACACAGTTCACTACCTCTCTATGAAGCCTCTAATGGGAAATCAGATAGAAGTATCTCAAATCAAAAGGAAGCACATGTAAAATCCCTTCAAAGGCAGCTGTTTCTACACTTCCATTATTATATAACATTTAGCTGACACTCACTGAG